GCTTTCGACTTTCCAGCTCCGCCCCCGACAATCTTTAGATACCCTGCCACTTTTGATCTTTCAATTTCTCTCTTATATTATCGATAGCCTAGCTGTATGTCTATATATTCTTTTTCTATCTCCGACTCGGCTTCGCCTTCAACAGATACACGAGTAAATCAGACATTTTATCTTGCGTCGCTCTTATGCATATCATACATATTCGTTCACGCCTAAACAGGACATTTCTCTCGCCATCGACATGGACCATAAAAACTCACCGTCCAGTCATTCGTAACTCGACCAACCGAAGACCCGGATAACACACGGCCGTCAATCCCAACGCAAGCCACATTCCAAGGTCACAGTCCCCGGAGAGCGATCTGGCTATCGGTCCGACGAAGTATGATTGCGACTGCATTGCACGTACGGTCAGTTTCTTCTTTCCAACCACAGCAAACGATTGTATGGATAGTGAGGAACAGCAAGAGAGGGTGCAGTTGAGAGGAAAGATAAGCAAAGAAATCGAAGAAAAAAAGACAAGGGAGACGTACCATCCCCAACACCGCGCCTACACAACCCACCACGAAACTCACCCCAGCCGCCAATCCCATCGGCAAACGGTGAACATCGTCCACAACGTCCCAATTATACGTCTTACCCCGACGGAAAACACACCCTTCCTCTACAACAATCACCAACCAGACCACAATCCAGTAGCTCATCAATGGCAGGAAATTCTCCATGATTTCGCGCAGGTAGTCGTGCGCTACGACCGCGCATGCCGTGTACACGATCACCTCGAGGGTGGTCAGTAGCGGGCGCGGGATGCGCGGTCCGTACCGGCCGAGCATCTGGAGATTCAGGCCCGCGGAGTAGGTGCAGGGAATATTGTTTGAGACCATGCCGAGAACGAGGATGACGGAGCAGAAGCGGCCGAAGCCATGGAGCGGGGAGAAGGAGGTTACGAGGAGGCTGCCCTGGGAGGTGAGCGAGGCGTCGAGCCAAGTGCTGTTAGTAGAGAGGCCGGTGGCGAGACCGATGCCTAATAACGTGGTCGTGACCATGGCGAGGCCCATGCCTGTGCTGACGGAGAGGAACATGCGCCATTGACTGGTGGCGGATGAGAAGTAGACGAAGTAGTCGGCGCTGGAGGGCGCCCAGGTGATGGCGGAGGCGAAGCAGAGGGAGAAGAAGGAGAGGCGGTTTGAGTTGCTGGTGGTGAGGGGCTTAGAGGAGACTGGGGACATGGTGGTGTTGAAGATGGGACCGGCACAGCCGACCATGACGAAGAGGATGGACAGCTGGACGATCCAGGCGTATCGCGTGTAGAAGTGGAAGAGGTGCATGCCGAAGGTTGCGATGAACCAGGTTAAGACGGCCACCACGATGATGCCAACGGGTGCTGCTGTATGGCCGTCGGACACGGCGAAGATGACCTGGCCTCCGAGGATGACGTTCACCATGCCGTAGCCCAGCATCGTGAGGACGTTCAATACGCAGCAGACCTTGCTGAGGTAGTAGCCTAAGAAGTATCGAGTCGCTACCTGACAGTATTATTAGCGATGGCTATAGGAATCGAATGCTCTGAGCTGGACAAATTCATACCAAGGTGCGGTGGCCACTCTTCGGACCCCATGTGCTCATGAAGCCTACTACCATACTTCCCAAGATTCCTCCAAGAGCAGCACACATGGCGGCATTACTCCAGTCGAGACTATACCGAGCGGGACCGTACAGTCCCACTATCACGTTGTTTGCAGTCAATGAAGAGTTCAGCCACAGCAGAAACATCCGATTGTAATCATCGGGCCGTGGAGGGTGCCGTTCATCCTCTCCGACTCGCTCAATTCCTCGCGTTTCCAACCCGAAGAGCCGAGTCAATGTATCCGCACATTTGCGGTACTTTGATAGCAGCACGATGGTCCCTTCGTGCGAGATTTCGACTGCTATCACTTTCGTCTTCGTCTCTTTAGATGGTGACTGCAAGTCAGAGCTTGGCTCTGAATCCGCCATTAAAGTGGTATGGTCAGTGTTCAAGTGGATAAGACAATATGTATAAGATCGACACGAGAGGATATATAGAGTAAAATAAGCTCGCGGGTCTCTCGTGTCTAGTACGTCATCAAGCCGTGAAACATTGCGTCTTCTCCTTTTTGCACGGAGACGTAACGTCGATCGACGCCATTATATACCTGCTGCCTCAAGGCGCCAAAAGCCCGGGAACTCGAGCGGGTCTGTCAAGACCTGGAATCCCAGAGAAGACCGCACATTCAGCCATAAAGCATACCAAGAGAAAGGACCGAAAAATGGATGCCTAAGCTGCAGTGGCATCAATTGTCAAAGAAGCCAATTGAGGTACATGCTCGTTCTGGGCCCGCGCCCTCTCTCTGCGGATTGTTGGCCGAGGTAGCCTAGAACTAGGGAAGCTGCATAATCGTTTGGGTTTCTGCAGATTCCCTTGCTCAGATGTTACGCTGCATGCAAGGAACTCCCGAAAATGCTGGGTCATGTGTTCGATGCTACAGTCACCCTGGAACTGCAGCACCAACGGCAAGGAAGCATACAGACTTTGGGGTAGCAGAAGACACATGCATTCTATGTGGTCGGCTGACTCAATTCAGTTTGAAAGTATTGGTCAAACGGTGTCATATCCCATTTTATCAAGGGGTTGCGTCTCTCACACCTGGCCAGACCAGACTGTTTATTCTTTCTTGACAGCCACATGAGGTCTGGGGCTGAAAGGCGCTCCCGGATAGGACATTCGACAGGTTTTGAACATGACCAAGTAAAATGGGAGCTGAACCAAATGCCCAGGAGAGTAGGGTTTATTGCATTAGCCGGTGCAAGCAAGTATATAGGCTTGGTCCAGAGTTTTTCAGCAAGGTCAACGCTTGGTTTGCGCCTGGTTTGCGCCTGGTTCTAGGCTGATGCATTTCGAGAAAGAGCAGCGTCAATGCATTTTCACAACCCTAATTTCAAAGATTTCGCCCGTTCAAAGCTGGGCTAGTTGCACGAGAACCTGTCAGAATGTGGCGATGTTGGATGCTTTCAAGCGTTTATTGAGTTTATTGTCTCAAAAGGACCTGTCATTAATTTGCTTGATTGAGACCAAAGATGACAAGTCATTCGATGGAAGTGATCAGTTCATAATCATTGAAGACGCCAAGGTTCAATATAAGGTTCAACAATAGTAGTGAATTATGAGAAATTGAATTTCAGGTATTCTGGTATATATTCATGCAGTGGGTTCGAGAACTGCTTATGCTGCTCTGATAGATAGAGTGTGGTGGGAGGGAATACTACTTAGCGGACCGGGGTCGAGTCATCAGATGAACATCTATGCAGACTCAGAATATTTGATCACGAAACCAGGAAGATGGATGATAGATGATGGAAGAAAGATGGGAAGAAAGAAGAAAGAGAAGAAGTAGATGAATCGATGCTGATTGGGCGGGCTTACCTCAGCCACGCTAGGCCCGAACGGGGCGGACATCGGCGATGGAAATTCTGCGGTTTTGCTTCGTCTTTGGCCGCTCATATCAACTCCCCAAAGGTCCAATCCGCCATCATGCTTCCCCGACTCCTCCGGCCGCAGAGCTCGCTGCGTGCGGCTTCCTCCTTCGTTCAGGTAAGACTTTTCGGCTCATTCAATAACCCGCTCAAGCCGTGGCTGTTCCTGACCTGAATTCGTTGCTAGAAACCTGTCTCCGCCCTCCCACGCTTCCAGTACCGCAGCTTCCACCGTGTTCCCAAATTGACGCACGATGACCACTTCAAGACCAGTGGCATCTCGGAATTCCTGTCTCCCGAGGCGGTCGATTTCGCCTGGACGCAATATCAGAGTCTCCTTGTCGACAAGCTGAACCTTTTGACGCAGGGTGAGTGGTCTCGTCCTCGCGTTTTCAAACCGGGAAAGACTAGAACAGCTATGTTCGATCGAGTTTTTACACGGGGGAATTGGAGATGAGGATTCAGTGGCTGATATCAACTGGCAGACACCCCTGATGCCGACGCGAAACCCGGAGAACTGCTGGTCAAGTACTCCCGCCGTCCGGAGATGGCCTCCGTTTTCAACTACGCCTCCATGGCCCACAACAACCACTTTTTCTTCAACACCCTGGTGAGTAACAAGCAGACCGAAACTCGACCATTCGGAGATCAACCTAACGCGTCGATTGTTCAAAGGCTCCCACCCACACCCAGATCCCCGAGAAGTTCGCCAAGGACATCATCGATACCTGCTCCTCGGTTGAGTCCCTGAAGCTCGACTTCCTGGCGACCGCCAACGCCATGTTCGGACCTGGATTCGTGTGGCTGGCCAAAAACCTCGAGCGGGAGGGCCTCATGCACATCTTCTGCACCTACAACGCCGGCTCGCCCTACCCGGCCGCTCACTCCCGACGACAGTCGGTCGACATGGCCACCCACTCGCCGGACGCTCCGCTGGGCAACCAATTCGCTGGCGCGATGGGCGCCCACTCGCAGAACCAGAAGAACCTGGCGCCCGGAGCCCTGGACGTCCAGCCCATCCTGTGTGTGAACACGTGGGAGCACGTCTGGATGATGGACTACGGAATCGGAGGTAAGGCCGAGTACCTCGAGCGGTGGTGGGATCGGATCAACTGGGAGGTTGTGTTGGATAACTACAACGCGGTCAGCTCGGTCCAGGGAGGTCGGCAGACGGCCAACTGGAACCGCAGCCTGAACATGCTGCACTCATGAGAACCCGGAAACAAGGAGCGGGGAGCATAAATCGATTTTTTCTATTATGTCTTGATAATTGTATTATATACTACCAACTTGCCTGGTTTTTCTCTTTTTCTGCTTATTATCATGTGTCTAAAAAAAATTCAATGTACAGCGAATGATCGCCCATAGAAAACCAAACAATATCAACCAAGGAAGAACTCTTTCTATTCTACACAGATCTAACATCTACTTGTTTATCTATACAAATGCTATTACTACAAGCCCTCAACCACAAGACCAGTAACTCAACTCAACCCAACGATCATGAATCACCACCGCTCCACCTCCCTTATCCTCTGCTCAAACGCATCAATCATCGCGGTCGCCATCTGATGCTCCACAGCCTTCATCATCGTCGCATGCAACTGACTCTTGAACTCAAACTCAATGCGCAACCGCACCGTCGTCCTCTCCGCTTCAGGAACCAACTCCCACTTCGTACTCAAATACTCAAAGATCCCCTCATTCGCACCGGGGAAGATGCCCCCGAGCAGGCCACCGGACGACTGACCCTGGCTCTGCGTGATCCCCTGCCCTCCTTGTGGTTGCCCATCCTTTGAATCCACCCCGAACTTCGCTCCGCTGCGCGCCTCCACTACCCACCGGCTCTCGTCGCAATCTACCTTCGACGTGAATGTCTCGCTGATCGGTCCGTATCCGACCGTCAGGAACGCGCGCGACGGGTACCCAGTTCCCGGGTCGCGGTGCGTGACCGTCGATGCCGACAGGAAGGGGAGGAAGTCGGCGTAGGATTCGACGGAGGAGATGACGCGGAAGAGGCTGGCGGGCGCGTAGGGGAGGGTGCGGGTGGCAGTGAGGACGCGGTCTTTGGGCTCGTTGTTGTTGGAGCCGCCCGAGGGGAGGAAAGAGGAGAGGAAGGGGCGGGTTTGTTGCGCTGGGGTTTGGGGTTTGGGTTGAGTTGCGAGGCGTGGTCGTGGTACTCGTAGGTTAGATGGGTTGGTGATGGTGATGGTTGAAGGACGAAGGCATTGCGAGCTGGTGCTGAGGTGGGATCGGGACTCAACGAACGAGTGGATGCGCCGGCTTAAGACGCGCGTTGTGGAGGGTTTCATTTTGGATGTGATGCTGGATTTGGTGGCGTAGCAGTGAGGAGGATGAAGGAGTGGCTTTTCTAGTATCCGTGGTTTTTTTTCCTCCCCGACTCCGACTCGGGTCCACGCGGGTCGTGCCGAGGATTGGATCTAAAGGCAGTAGAACTATAGAATTCATTTCACCTCGTTATAGAATGGCATTGATCTCATCTTTTCTGTTTACATCAAGACTACACATTTTCAAGCATTTTATCTATCTCCCCCGGGTCATTCCAGAAACTCAGTCCCCGGTCCTCTAGACCTTGTATCTGCTGGTCCCAAAGACCCTGTGAACCGGTTAGCATCAACAACGAGAACAAGATCTGAAAAGAGAACTCACCCAGTCAAGGTTTGTCGGTGCGTCAAGCATGTCTTCAATAACATCCAATGAAACTAAAGGCGGTTGCATGATGCTTGTTGCGTCGGCCATCGCGTCGGCGTCCAGACCAAGAGCATCAGGCGGATTCCGTATATCTTGCCAGCTTCCATATGGTGGAAGTTGAGCTGAGAGATTGTTAATGTCCTCTTCCTGAGATTTCAATTCTGAGAAGGAAGAGTTCTTACTGGATGTTGCTCCGGGAGTTGGCTCGCTTGCCATGCCGTGGAGCTGGGGTCCTCTTTGCAGAGAGAGAAGCTGGTTCTCCTTCTTTACCCTACGCAGCATCATTGTCAGAGCAGTGTGCGCCTTCTGTGCATCTGCTGACTGCTGCAGGGACTTTTCCAAGATGCTATGAGACATCTCGAGCGATGCGAGGAGGTCTTCTCGGCCCTTGATAACCACTGTGACATCGTTATTTGCATGGCTCAGTTGCGGCCCCGTGATTTGGTTGGAGGAGAGTTCCAAGCAGATGATCATCGCAGCGAGCAAGTAGTCCGCATATTGCAGAGAATTAGGAAACTGCCTGTCCCGATACAAGATCCCCCCGGGCTGGGTCTCGTGGTACAGATCTGCCTGGTGTCGAAGGATCTCCTTCGACGCACTCATGCAGGCCCATCGAGAGTACGCATACCGAAGATCGGTGTGAATTTCGCCTAAATACCTCCGATGCAACACGCATCGCGCCTTCTGGTAGAGTAGCTCTAAGGTATACCGTCGGAGGATCATCTCCGCCGGGTCGGCGATTGACTGGTCGAGGGGGCGCAATTTGAAAGCCGGTGTGATCATGTTGTGCGCTTCTTCGAGACGTCGGTCAATCTCGAGAGTCTGCTCGTAGGTGACTGGTTCTCGGGAATACGCCAGGTCGGAGATCTTCCCAAATACCGACATGATCCTCGATTTCACTCGAGTATACGATGTGGCCGTCACCTCGTTGTCCGGTTTGGGCGGCGGCAGCTGCTCCATATCCTCGTAGATGTCTTCATCCGAGAGGTTTCGTGGCGGTTCAACGTCGTGCTGCCAGTCTTGGATTGTTCGAGGCACGCCTACTTGAAACGAAATGAGGCTGTCCAGTTGACACAGAATCGACCATACCCGCCGTCTGAGTTCCCCCTCGAAAGGGGAAATACTGGGAAAGTGCTGTGGGTCTCGATGGTATCCCATGCGCATGGCCAATCTGATCGTGATCCCGAGCATGAATGAGACGCCCACCTGGGCGTCGTAGGTGCGGTAAAATTCTCCCATCGTACATGTAAACAGCGCTTCGACCTTGTAGCGCCCGGGCTTGGTATAGTTCGACTGAGCTAGACACTGCGCAGTTCGTTTGCGAAACGTAGCAAGTGTTTCCATCGGGCCTTCGAGAGGGCTAGGTAGCGGCTCTTGAAGACGCTGATGGATGGAAACCGACAAGGTTAGAATACCGTAGAGTAAACCGAGCCATGGTAATGAAACACTTTCTGGCTTTTGCCAGAATGCATTATACTAAACCATCGTTAGCTACGGAGCTGGCCAAGAGAACGTTTGAAGTACCTCTCTTTGAAAAGTGATGATATGAAAAACGACTGCGCATCATTCCGACTTGTAAGTTTCGTGCGTAATAGGCATAGTTTGCCTAGGCTTACCTATAAAAGGCTCCTTGCTAGTGAAGAACTGAGAGATCAGCCGGTCGGCTACTGGTCGCGATGGAATATCTGCGAGCAGCTCTTCCTTGCTTGCGGGCTTGTTCAGTCCAAACAGTAGAGTCGGCGAGGCCATATCAAAGGAGTCTTCTTCGTCCTCTTCGTCAGATTCATCGTCACTTCCTTGGAGATATTCTTTGACCCCGTTGATCTTTTCGCCCAGTCTCATTAGTACAGTATTCACATAAGGAGAGGGCTACATACTTCCTCAAGTATGGCACTCCAGTGCGCCCCGTCAATATAGCTCGTGCCCGTATCTTTGACAAGAAGCTTACTAGACGCACCACTAGGTGAGTTCTTCGTTTCCAAACTCTCATGCGACACGGGCGTCTCCAGCATGGCCTGGTTGCCATCCTGGGAACTACCGTTCTCCTGATCTACCAGGAGCTCAGCATCCTCTGAGCTATGATTATTTTCCTGTTTTTTCTTTTGCGTCAGAGACAGGATAAGGTTTTCCAAATGCTGTAAACGGTCTTGAACTTGAGTTGGACTCGTATGACCGCTCAACGCTCTCCCTCGAGGACCGCGCCCGATAAAGGTGCACGCATGGGGTTCGCCTCGTTTCTTGCAATTAGTGCAAGGGTGCGTCCGACAGCATTTCAACCTAGCGGGTTAGTTAGTGTTTGTCAACCGCACTTTAGGTGGCGTATGACTTACTTTCGGCTTCGGCATGCCGTGCACGACAACTGGACTCGGGTCCTCTTTTTCTCCTTGCTAGCAGCAGCCGAATCTCGAGATCGAATGTCAGACATAATTTGCGAGTTGACCATTTGAGAAGTAAGTAAATTTAGCAATTCAACAGATGCCAGGCTGGTGGAAAGAGATGGACGAGGCAGCGACATGACGGCAACGTATTCCTCCGGTTTTTGGGGGCTATCTCCGACACTAACCCCGATGTACTCCGTACAGTGTACAGCCAACAGCCAACATCCTTGGTGGTTGATCTTCTGTTGGATTACGAAGTACAGAAGTGTTGATTCCAATCGGCTGCATCATGATCTCATTTGTGAAAACATTCATACATCTTTCTTCTGCATTCTCCAAGTATGCATCCACAGGGACTCAGCCTTCATTCATATTGTAGCGTCTGAGTCCTTGGTGCTTAATGGGAAACCATAAGTGCATTGACAACAGGATATCCTCAAGTTAGCGACTTGGCCAATTGCAAGATACAGACCGTAAAATGTGGATGAAAGTGAGGATGAGGATGATGAAGAAAAGAAGAAGAAGCCGGCGAAGGGACAAAAAGCCGAGACGGCTTCTTGCCCGAAGCGGCTTAGTGGGCCTCGGAAACGGCGAGGGCCAGGCAGTTCCGAGACCGGGGCTTTTCGAGATATCCTCCTGTCTTCTTCTTTTTCTCTCTTCCTCTACTTCTATATACTACCCAGAGCGATTGCCTCCCTCACGATTACCCTCTATATAACCCTTTGAACTTCTCAATCATGTCCCTTTTCACTGCGACGCGATGCGCCCAGTTTCCATGCTCCTCCCGGCGCGCTTTCTCGGTCTATCACCGTCTCCGCACCGCAACTACATCTACATCTACACCTGATGCCTCCTCCATTGCTGCCTCATTCCTCTCTCGATTCCAATCCCTAGGCCCCCAATCCCGCACCCAAATCCTTGACGCCAACCAGCTTCAACTTCTCTCTCTAACTCTTAACCGCCCTTCTCTCTTCCCTACCTCCACTCCTCTTTCCAATACATCCCCCTCTGTCTCCGTACCCGCAAACACCCCCGTTCCCCCCGGCTACCACCTCGTCTACTTCACCCCTGCCTTCCTTGAGAATGAACTCGGCCCCGACGGCACGGACGTCTCGTATAACCCGTCCGCGCCGTTCACACGACGCATGTGGGCTGGCGGCGAGGTACACTGGCCGCGCGGCGCAGATGGGAACCCGAACCCGTTGCGCGTGGGCCAAGAAGTGCGCGAGACGACGAAAGTACTGAGTGCGGAGCCAAAGGTGGTGAGGAAGACGGGAGAGGAGATGATCGTGGTTGGTGTGGAGAAGGAATTCAGGAATGAACACGGCGTGGCGCTTTTAGATCGCAGGTAGGTCTTTCCCCCCTCTCTTTGATATACTCACTTGAGCCTCCCGGGGAGCCATCGGGAAGGAGCTATATATAAGGTTCTTAGTTTGCTCATAATATACATAACAGGAATTGGGTGTTCAGGAAGGCATTGACCGCCCCGGTGGCATCGACCTCATCTGCCTCGGCGCTGGAGGTCTCCTCCAAACCGGCCTTCTCGTCCACCACCGCATCAGGGAACACGCATACTCGCACCCTGAGGCAAACAGCTGTCACGCTGTTCCGCTTCTCCGCTCTAACCTTCAACCCGCATAAGATTCACTACTCAACGCCTTGGGCCAGAGACGTAGAAGGCCACAAGGACATCGTGGTGCATGGGCCGTTGAATCTGATCTCCATCTTGGACCTGTGGAGGGATACACGGACCTCTGCACCTGGTGCTGATGGCGATCTGGTTATTCCGGAGAATATTGCTTACCGTGCGACGAGTCCGCTGTATGCGGAGGAGGAGTACCGGGTAGTCTTGGATGAGGAGCAGGGAGATGGGGTTGCTCGGGTGAGGATTCTGAGACCGGATGGGGAGGTGGCTATGAAGGCGGAGATCTCTTGATTGACCTTGAATGCTTTATTGCCTTGCTTTGGGTATCTATATAGGACACAGAAACCGCAGGTGGGTTGAATATCCAACCCGAGCATCTAGATGGGACCTTGAAAAAAATGGCAGTGCCAGTGGTCCGAACTAGATGATCTGGATAATCGAATACTTGTTTTCATTGATCAGCTCTAAAGCTTGACTCATTAATGAGTCTTCATTATTGTATATGCTAGCGTTATGTATATGAAAGACACCTTGGTGGAGCAAGACAAAGTGACCCCTCAGGAGCGTAGAAAGAGCCTGTCTGGCAACACGACTTGGTCTTTATTGTTCTTTCCTTTGTCTAATGATATCACGGGCAATGCTCTAGGATGATTGATTAAACTTTTCATAGAAGCGTTATCTGATGTTGTACAGGGTGGCAGGGTGTTGGTTTATCGGTCGCAAACAGAACTATATACTTACATTGAGGCTGGCGGCAAAAGAAGTTACAAAGTGAGAACTTTTGGGAATCACTCCCATTATGACCTAAAACCAGGGGAAAACTAAATTAAGAACTGAAAAATATTCAAGAAGAATACAGATAGTAAAACACCGTCTTAGAAGATATTTCCCTTATAAAATCGAATGGCTGTTTGGATTGAGATACTGTTGGCCATTACCATCCGAGAAAGCAAATGACCGTCGTGCTTGTGATAATCAGAGAATCCTCCTGAATGACATGCCATCAACTACGTAAATCCAGAGTCTACTACCCAAATCAATGAAAGGCTCCTTTGACACTAGAATCAGCGCCCCGAAGCCGAAAGACAACTTACAATGGCCGTCTCCCGCTCTCCCAAACCAACTGGCTCTCCTTTCATTTCACGCCCTGAAGACGAAACAGACTACAAACGAGCCATTGTAAGCTCCCTTCTGCAGACAAATAAACATTTGCCTTGTGGACCGTGTGAATTGATCGCCAGCAGCTCCGGCGCGTAGGTCGATCGAGCTCATTAGGCGATTTGCTACGAGCCCCGTCGGACCACGGCGCTTCCAGCTGCATCGCATCTGCACGGGATTTATTTTGGGCATCAGGTTGGCGGCTATAGTTAGAAGGCGGATGGATTTGACAATTTTGCTCGCGTGCTTCTCTCTCTCTCTCTCTCTCTCTCTTTCTTCTGTTCTCTCTTCTCTCGCAGTTCATATACACACTCTTTGTCTGCTTCATTGTTCGACAGTTCAACACTCCTTTAACTAGTCCATTGTTGTCGATACCCTTGTTTTATACATTCAATTTCTCGCTCTTTGTATACAAAGTGCCACTGCCATATCCTTTGACCGTCATATAATTCAAGATTCGTCCTAAAGTCCGCCATTTGGCGATTCAGACCCCCTTTAGAGAAAGTCACCGCCACCATGGCCAAATCGACACTCAGTAACATCCATCGAGCGCCGTCGACCACGACATTCCTATTGCTTGCTCTAGTGGCGATTTCGATAACCCCGAGCCACGCACTCAGTGTACTCCTAGAGCGTGCCGCAGGCACTTGTCCGAAGTCATATTCGCGCTGCGAGAACGCAGGTCTCCCAGACTCCTTCTGCTGCCCGTCCTCGTCGACATGCGTGAGCCTGGACAGCGGATCGTCGGCCATCTGCTGCCCCAAGGGTCAGAGCTGCGAGTACATCCAACCCATCACCTGCGACGTGCAATTGCAGAACGCAACGCTGCATCAGACCAACGCCATCAAAACCACCCGGCTGGATGATAACCTGCCCAAGTGCGGTGATTCCTGCTGTCCCTTTGGATACAAGTGCAAGGGAGGCGAGATGTGTGAGATGGACACGGATGCGAAGTCTGCCTCATCCACGAAAACATCAACTGGAACGCCCACGACGACGTCTGCTTCGTCCAAACATTCCGCCACCACGGACTCAGACCCCTCCTCGACATCCGACCCAGCAGTTCCCACGCTCGTATCGCCTACCAACCCTAAGGTGTCATCCTCCCTCTCTTCCGACTCCAACTCCACTGCCGCCGCCCTAGCCGCCACATGTCCATCATACCCCAGTAAAGCCGTTCTGGCAGGCTTCTTCCCCGGCGCAATCTTCGGAGCCGTGCTCGCCGCCCTAGGCATGATCCTCTTCCGACGCTGGCAACAGCGACAGCTCCGGGTGTCCGAGAAAGTCGCTCAACACACGCAACGCACCTCCAACGGCACCTTAATCGGGATCTCCAGCCCCATCCCAACAGAAGATACGTCGTACCGCACCGATTTCCTTCTCCGACGGTCGCGATCCTCAAAACGCAACTCCGAGGGCGCTAGATCCGTGCTCCAACGCACCGGCACCCGCGTCAAGAGCCTCTTCGGTTCCACCCCAAAGATCACCGTCCAGCCGCCACAGTCCGACGACGTGCCTCAAGTGCCTCCCATCCCGCCGATGCCTGCCCCGCCTCCCCTGCCTGTTACGCCGCCGCGTCAGGTCCGTCCGGCCCGTCTGCCCAGCACAGAGAGTATCCGCGTGTATACGCCCCCTGGTGTGTTTGCCAACACGGGCGTGCTGAAACCAGACCCGTATCCACCGTTTCGTCCGGACACGACATTCACGGATATGATCGATCGGGTGGGGTTTAAAGATAATAAAGGGGATCCGTCGTATCGGGTGACGGCTAGCTCACAGGATAGTCCGGGGACGAGAGGGAGGCTGTAAATTCTTTGTTCTTGGTTTTGTTTTTTGTTCTTGGGTACATCTTCACCCTTATTTTTTTCTGTTGCTTTCTTCTGCATCTGCGTGCTCGTTCAGTTGAAAGACATTGCGGTTGCGTGTTCCTTATGTTTATATAGATTCCCCCTGGAGATATCTCCTGCCCGATATAATATGTGCATAGGTGTGGGACGAGTTGCCTTCGAGATATGAGCGAAATGAAACTCTTGTCATAGTTAGCATTCCTTAATGATATGTGTCGATGAAGAAGAACAAATTCACATTAAGCAGCAAGTATACTATATTACAGTGCGAAGAAAATTATATAGAAGAGCATCAAACCTCACGAACGCGCTCTCTTAGCTTTCCAGCTGGCCACTGCTCGTTTGACTTCCTTGAGCAGCCCAACAACTAGAGGTACCCCGATGGGTCCCAACAAGGGGAGATAGACTGCCACCTTGTGTTCGTCGGGGAAATAAACCTGACCGACCATGCTTTTCTCGAAGAAGCTGCGCTCGGCCTCCGACTCGGCAACGCGGGCGTTGCTCAATGCCGCTTGGAAGCGACCCTCTTGGAGATGAGTGCATGCGGACGCTAGATGACTGAGGGTCGTGGACACGGAGGTCGCGACCGAGGCGGGGATGGGAATGGAGGGCAAGGACTCGGTAAGACGGGCGAGAGAGCCCATCGTGGAAGAGGCGGAGAAAAGAAGGGTTGCGGCGCGAATGCGAATGAGGGTTTGCAGGCGAAAAGGAAGGGAGGATGGTGTAGTAGGCGCGCCCAGTAGGGTCAAAAGCTGGTGGGAGAAGGTCAAGAAAGCCGGGCGGAGAGACTCCTGGGGCAGATATGAGGGATTGCTGGGATTCTCGGTCATCCTGGACAAGGGAGGGTTGAGAAGAAAGGCCCCGCCCCATTGAGGGATGATCCAGCTGGTGGCGCTGCTCTCCTTCACAACCATCGGGGATTGAGAGGGATCAGGCACGTAGAGAATGAAATTGATCGTGGGGCCGCTACCAATGCTAGGGCTCAAGGGCCATTCGGCTGCGTTGATGAAAGCGCTCAAATCTTCCGTCTTGAGGGTCCACGCCCCCTGCGACTCGTCGTATTCCGGGAGAGGTGCCGTTGGCGAGAAGCCCGCGTAGAGCTGCACCTGAGTGTCGACGGTAAAGTTGCTGATGGGGGAGTAGGCATCAAGGAGAGGCGAAATATACTCCTCCACGGCAGCCTGAATATCCCACGACGAGGGTTGCGAGCCTGGCGTAAACAATGAGAAGGCCAGGTGATACGTGTCTGCGTGCTTCATGGAGCGGCGCAACCGCCGGCTGATACTCTCTGCCAGCTGCGGAGAGATGGAATTGAGAAGCGCAGAGGGCTGCTGATTGTTCGACGAGGCCGGGGTGTTGGTATTAGCGCTCACGACATTGTTGTCGGACAGCACATGCGCCACGATGGCTTTCTCTTCCGTGAACAAATTCTGGAGCGTCCCTGCGATGTATCCCGAGAGTGGCGGGTTGGAGGACGACGGAGGGGGCACCTGGCTGGGCGGGTAATAAACATCCAGCTGCGTAGTGTCGGCATGAAGCTCCGACTGAGGAGCAGTCAAGTTATCGCGCGCGAGTAGACGAACGGTTAGCGCGGTATCGGCCTTCCCCTCTTCTCTGTCGTTGGACAGCTTGAGTCGGAGATGATGCGCGGAGAACTCATTCAGGTCATCGAGGGCGTGTTGCGTGGCCCGGAGAAGATGCTGCGCGTCGAACTCTGGAAGGGATGGGGTATCGAATCGAATATCAAGAGGGAAAACTGGGCGACAAATCTATCGATTGTTTGAAAGTTTGATCAGCACGGTTCTTCGTCCATCATCAGGTAGGTGTCCTACCTTTCCATCGGCCCAATCCACCATCTCCTCGACAGGCAATCGAGCGCGGTAGATGGACGTCGTTTTCCACCAGATCGGAAATCCCAGGAAAATTATGACGGCCCAGAAGGCAGCGATCACTTTGAACCGCGTCTGAATGGCCTCTGGCTTCTCCGGGGGAGGAGCTCGCGGGGCGGACGGAGTAGCCATGGAGTCGGCTTGGGGAGTCAGCGAGGAAGACCCCCGGTCTTCATTCTTATCGGTCATGGTCAGGACATGCTTTGGCCGGAAACTAAGGGGCGATCCGGTTGCACTGTAGTGTGCAGGGAGTGATGATGGAGAGGAGGGGGGAGTGGAAGAGCGACGGATGAAAGGTGACGATGGTGGAGGACAAGTAGTCGACGGGCGGAACAGCCCTGCGATCGCCGAAATCACCGCAATGTAACTCCGCCATCCATACCCCGTTGTAGACTATCGTATTTGAAAGAATGATTGAGATTATTTGGTTACAAGAATAATTGCGATGTTCAATATTTGGTTCATAACAGACACACTTTATTCCACCTCTAATTAGAAAAAAAAAGAAACCAAACAATCCGGGTATCTTGATCTACAATATAAAACACGCAAAATGACAAACCCCAAACACCTCCGCAAATTTTGCTCTAGTACTCCTTTTCGAATAGCTTCTGGATGGGTTTTGCGGCCTAGTGTATTGCCTGTTAGTTACCAATCTAAAGGAGGATCCATACGGAAGAAAGGGGGAATGCATACATCGATAAACCGCTCCAGATCCTGGTCTAAGCTGGCCAAATCATCCTTTCGCTTGTTGTTTTCAGCGATCAAAGCCTGCTTGCGCTTGAGAAGCTCCTGGCGGGCTTGCTCAAGTTTCTCACGCTCGGCATGTTCATGATTGATTCGGGCCACCATGAGTTCGTGGGCATCGGAGTCGTTGTGTTCGGGGAAAAGGGCCAGAAACTCCTCGACAGGGATGAGCGGAAGGGCGAGATATTTGTGGCTAGGAAAATAGGAATTATATTAGCGATGACAAGGCGCGACAGCTGTGCAAAAGACCACCTACTCATAAGACTCGCAGGCGGCGATTTCACCCGTCAAATGCCGTTGCTCATAGTACAGGTTCTGCAGCTGAAGATGTAACCGGTCGATCTCCTGGCGACCTTCGGCGGTGGATTGTTTCGTCTCACGCACGCGGAGAATTGCCTCACGATTCTGACCACGCAGGCGAGCCAGCAGAGCAAATAACCGTTTTTGTTCCTTCGACGCGGTCAGGGCTGCTTCTTGCGGGTCGGGGTCTGCGGTCGGATCCAAGGCAGCCAGCAAGCGCTGGCATTGATCGCGGGTCTCGGCGCTGGTGGACAACACGGGCAATAGCGAGGGTTCGGCGACTAGGTCACGGACAGCCATGGCGGCAGGTTTGGATCAGGTAGTTGAGGATTGAATTCAGGGAGGGGAGCGAGAGGCGGAACGACGATGAACGTGGATGCAATGCGGTCGCTGATGGGCTGGACGGCGCCGCTGGTCCGGAGGGTTGAAAGTTTCTTCAGTTCTGTTGAATGCAGGTTGAAATCCACGAGGATGGAAGCAATCGCGAATGAACTGGACGGGTAGCAAGTTGGAATGAGGGCGAATCTATCATTGGAGGAGATTGGGAAGGAGAGAAAGAGGGCGGCGTCTCGGCGAGAAATTAATTAAATGTTAATTGACGCCCCCCACCTGACTTCCCTCTCTCACTTCCTATCTCTTCCTCTCTCCTCTCCTCTTCTCTCCTTGTCGGTACTCTGTTCTGGTCCATTTTTAAGTCTTTCCCCTCCTTTTTTTGTCCAGTTCAATATCTCTCTCCTCTCCCTTGCATTGTATTTGTTTGTGTTCTTGGCTCTTCTTTTCTTTCTTCTCTCCAACAATCTCCGACCTTCGGGCCCCCAACCACTCTTAGTTTCCTCAACCCAACAAACACTCTTTTACCCTCGCAGTCGTGACATGTGCAATTAGTCTCGCCAATTCCTGACCGGTGGGAATCTGTTGGACGGTATCATCATGACCTGCTCGGCACAATCTATGACCATCGAGTCTTACCCCGAAGCCTCGACAAGTGCGTACGCCACTCCCTCCGAAGAAACCGCTCTTCTGCGGGACCGACGCCGAAGACACTCCTTTCATACGGCGAGGAAGCTTTCATGCGACTACGATGCCGACGCTGTGTTTCTAAGAGTGAGTACCCTGGCCGGGTGGCGCTCTCTTCTCCCGTCCTGTCCTTCCCGCCACGGAACATTTCCCCCTGACCCAGACCTTTCTTATAGGTTGAACTCTTCCTGGCGGAGCTGGAACGACGTATGCACTGGATCGAAGAATATCGTCGCTCTCATATGGTCCAAGTCGATTCCAGTCTACGCCGCGGATATGCAACGCTCGAAGCCGTTCGTGACTCTTGCTCCCATGCCTCAGGGGAACTCATGGGCAGTGGCAAGAAGAGAGCCAAGATTTTGGTGGAGACCCTCGAAGATCGCTATAACGATGCTCTGGCAACCAAGGAGACCCTGGAACAGAAGGCTCAGGTTGGAATTCGCCTGATGGAGACCTTTTTGACCGAACTTGAATCTCGAGCCCACGCCGTGCGGGACCGAGGCATCTACGGCGCCCTGGACGACGGGTGGAAGGCGGTCGATTCGAAGCTGGTGCATGCTCGTGAGGTAGTTGATGAGGGCATGGAGCGTGCCCGGAAGGCGAGGGATACTCTGCGCGAAAACATCGACCAAGCCATCTTGCTGGCCAAAGAGCAGCGGCTGATCACTTATGCGGATCTTCCCCACCCGTGGCGAGTCAACCCGCACATCTTGCAGGGTTACCGGTTCACTTCCTCCAAGGTGGAATGCTTCACTTCGATGTTCACCTGCTCCAATGAGCTGGTCAATATCTGGTCGCATTTGATCGGCCTGTTTATCGTTCTGTCGATCGCCTTCTACTTCTACCCCCTGAACCCCAACTTCCATCTCAGCACCAACACGGACGTGTTGATCGCGGCCGTATTTTTCTTTGCCGCATGCAAGTGCCTGGTCTGCAGTACCCTTTGGCACACCATGAGCAGCATTGCCAATCAAGGTCTGATGGAGCGGTTTGCTTGCGTGGATTACACAGGCATTTCGATGCTTGTGGCGGCCTCCATCGTGACCACCGAGTACACGGCCTTTTACTGTGAACCCGTGTCCCGCTGGACTTATATCCTTCTCACCATGTCCCTTGGGATCGGAGGTGTCATCCTGCCCTGGCACCCGACGTTCAACCGGGCGGATCTCGCATGGGCTCGAGTAGCCTTTTACGTCTCGCTGGCCCTCACCGGATTTGCACCGCTGTTCCAGCTGACCTACACGCGAGGCTTTGAATGGTGCTTGTACTTTTACGCGCCGGTCGTGAAGAGCGTCATGGTATATTTTGTGGGAGCCTGTGTCTACGCTTCTCAGGTGCCCGAGCGGTGGAGTCCCGGGCTCTTCGACTACGTCGGAGGCAGCCACAACATCTGGCACTTGGCCGTTTTGGGTGGCATCCTGTTCCACTACTGCGCCATGCAGGATCTGTTCGCCAATGCTTTCCAGCGTGCAAAGGGAGAATGCCCCAACCTTGCTGGGTAGAGCAGATAGAGCTACAACCGCTTCACATCGACGGTATCTGAGCAGACGCCTCTGCGTATCCGTCCCGGCCTTCTTGGCCTTTCTATGCCACACCTGATTCCACCATGGTCTCTTTTTGGTTGTCGGCATGTCACTCCGTATATTCATTCCGGTGCCCCGGGTCTTACTCTTCTTGTACATACATTTTTGAATTTGATATGCCTGAGAGCCGTGGTCCTTTGCGCCCATGCTTCCCAGGATATCAAATTGGTACCTTGTATCTACGGTGTCCCTTCCCTCTGGTCCCCTGGGGTTAGTCCTTTATCACTAAGCGTTACGTTTACGGTAAATAGAGAGCATTGTCAGAGTTCATCAAAAGTGTCATTCGTCGGCAGATGCCGAACTGTTCTTGACTTCATGGAGATATTCTAGAATCATGTCTATACTGCATTCAAACTGATTTCTATCCGTCGTGACATCGTGAAATTTACCATCTCTATCTTGGATGGTTTATACGGTTGGGCGAACTTTGAACCCGGAGCATCTCGTGGAGATCGCAAGTTGGCACAAGTTCAAACTCCGCGCCGGCAAGCATGGTTCTAGGCCTTGACGGAACGGCCAAATGCGTGGCGACGTCTGTCGAACAGGCTTCGTGGAAATAAAGTTCAAATTCGAACCCAATACTGAAAATCCGTCTGAGAGCGTGAACTGACTCGCAATGGACTGTAGGCCGTGCACAATCTAGGCAAATCACGATTCGCTCTTCTCATCACTCGCAGGAGCAGCATCTGCCCGCTTGAGGAAATGGCCCTGGATCCAGGCCCGATACATCTTCAGTTTCTGTTGGCGGTTGACAATCAGACGGTTATCCACGGCCAGTTTCTGGATTTCAAAGGCCCCTGGCTTTGCCGAGTCATTCGTCGCAGCCGACCCCGACTCCTCGTCCCCTTTCTCCGGCAGGCCCTTCTCGGGAGTCCACTGACCCCACATCTGACGCAGTTGCTCCTTGTCAAAGAAGTACACGCGCGTGCCGTCACCACGGATGTAGAAGTTCTCACCCATGTACCGACCCTTCTTGAATCGTACCTGGGCCAGGTCACCCCGGCCGTAGTCACGGAACAGGACCCGACCGCCGGGCTTCAAGACACGGTATACATTGCGAATAGCCTGCTCCCATTGCTCGGGTGCCAGGGCGGAGAAGATGAAAATCAAAATCACTACATCCACCGACCCCTCGGTCAATCCGGGCGGAAGGCCGTTCTGAGTCTCGTCGGGTTGGGCCGAGACGTCCCACACGTCGGCGGTCATGAATTTCGGGTTATAGTGCTCACTGTCGCGCATGACCTGAACGGCGGTCTTGGAGAAGTCGCACGCATGCACCATGAGCTCCTCGTTGGCGTTGTTCAGCAGCAGCGGGAACGCCGTGTTTCCAGCGCCAGCGCCCACCTCCAGCACGACCTGACGACCGGCCCCGGCGGTTGTGACATCCGCTAGAACGGGGAACTCCTGGCGCAGCCATTTGCGGTCCTTGAAGAAATTGGCCGTGTTGTTCTTGTAGAATAGATTCCACCACTTGGCGGGGTCGGCGTTGAAGCGGGCGCGGTCGAAATCGGAGACGGGCGATTCGCGCTGCTTGGCGTACTGGGTTTCGGCGAAGGCCTTGAAGTTGTCGTCTGGTTCGACGTGGTCCCAGGCGTTGAATTCATAGACGTCGTCGCCTTGTTCGAGGTAGCGCGAGCCGAACTGGAAGGGATCGGTGCGTTTGAGGTTGTTGGCGGGGTCGTGCGAACGATGCGGGGGGACTTGAGGCGGTTGCACGATCTGAGCAATGCTCAGGATATCCTGGGGATCGGGAGGTGAGATTGGAGCTGTGGAGTCCGACATGATGGTTTCTCTTTCTGGGAAGGGGATCGAGGGAAGAAAGAGAAAGAAGGTCTTTGAGGGGTAAGAAAAGGTGGCCCTGAATGGAAAACCTTGCGGAGAAAAAAAAAAAAAAAAAAAAAAAAACCCAAAAGGCAAAAAGTTAAAAACCCAAAGGGAAATTGGCGGGGCCCCTGGATGCCTTAGGCAATGAGCGGGACTGGACCCGAATGTGGGTGCCTGAGGGATCTGCATGCTCGACCCTGGCAGGCCTCAGGCAGCAGGATACGAATCTCACGGGATTCCCCAGTCCCTCCGTGTCTGTCCTTTGTCCTTGTCACTTCTGCTCTCTTCCTCCGTCTCACTCCCGACACTCCTCACTCTACTCTGCATTCCTGCCCACAGCTGGTAATAGGCTGTGCGTTGTGTGATATCTGGCCTCTTTGTCCATCTCGGAATGACCTGACCTTTCGTCATTCTTATTCTATTAGCGCTGGCATGACCTACTACTTACGGACTACATAGCCGTACTATCACCATTCATATACAACCGTGCATCGCCATTGATTCTCTACATTTCTACACTTCTGCTTTATACACATATTGACAGCCACAAGAGTCAATCCCACTATTTAAACCTAAATCTCCTCTAGCCCTGAGAACATGGTCATATTCAGCTGGCTCTGCTGCATCCCCCCAAGCCCATCTCCTCCCCCGCTCTCAGCCTCGTCTCAGCCTCATCCTCATTCCACCACCACAACCACCAACGCAACAAATCATGCCTCAGGGGAAGAAATTGGCTACACCTCACCACCCGACCTCCCAGCCTACACGCCTCGCCGCGACAGCATCCACGAAAAGACACTAGAATTCCACATGCGCGATCCCTCGATCTCATCTGCCTCTGCTTCGTTTGACCAGAACCAACAGAGTCAACACTCGGACTACCCCGACGAAAAAGCCCACTACCAATACGACCAAGATCCTTCTCTCAACTCTCCATTACGGAATAGCAACCGCCCCGAGGACCTCTCGTCCGACGTCTCTTCAGCTATTTCGTTTACTAGTAGTTACGGGAATACGTCCACCGCTACGAGGGAGACGCCGCCGCCGCCGTATTCGCCTAGGGAGGGGTCCCCTGTCCCGGGTCGGTCGAGGTCGGTTTCTTCGGTCTCTGGACGTGGGATGGGGTGGGCTGTAGGTGTTCCGACGCAGATGATGCAGATTGCGCAGCCGAGGCCCGTGTTCCAGAGACGGGAGACGTTGATGCGGAGTTTTGTTGCGAGGAGGAGGTAGAGGGGAGGGGGGATTAACTTTGAAGCTTTTCTATCGTGATTTGGGCTTTCTTCTTTTGTCGGTTTTTGTTGACAATCTTTGATTGGATGGGATGGATATGCTTGGATATACTAATGTTTACGATCATGATGGATGGATTATGTGAGGATAGTCAAAGTGCATGGGTTCTGGCGTTTGAAGGAGGGAATCGTTCGTTATTCTATACTATACTATACTAATACCTTCTGTCCTGGTTTAAACCCAGGATCGATATCAATCAATATGATATACAGTTTGTAAATGATCATAGAACCCGAGGTTTCATCAACCTACCATAACCCCCTAATTCCAGCCAATTTACATCAAGATCTACCATTCAATTTAACCATCATCATCCGCTCCTGCACATGACGCAGTAAATACCCGCTCACCTGCGCCGGAAACTCTAACAGCACCAGAACACGCGGATCATCGCTGTATTCAAGATACATGCAGATAGCGGCACACTCGGACTTGATCCTCGTTTCCATCCACCAAAAATGCGCTGAGTCGACCATGCCCAGCCACCAGGCCAAGATGAGCAGAGCGGGCGGGTCCTTCGCAAGCACCCGATCGTAGAACGGGCCCGTCAGCCGGCCCACGAAGTTCATGTATTTGCTGAAGCTGCGAGTGGACCTTTCTGCGGACAGAAGTGGGGTGAGCATCCGGACTGGCCAGTGGTAGGGATTCGTCTCTTCGGTGTCGGTCTCGTTGATGTCGCAGAGGTCGGCGAACGCGGGGTCCAGGCCTTCGCGACCGGTTCGGTGGTCGTCGAACAGCGGGTTCTCGTTGCGGGATGTCATGAACATGTCGAAGTAGATGCTGGTGGCGAGCCAGCGGCGGCTGAGGCCGAGGAGGTGGCGCAGGCCGCTCTGGAGCAGGAGCCAGTTTAGGGCGTTTGGGTTGTCGGAGAAGACGAAAGAGTTGTGGGGATTGTAGGTCTCGAGTCGGAATGAGTGCACGGTCATTAGGAAACAGGCCGAGAATAGAGGGTCCATGTTGTGAGAGCCGACGTGAGAGATCTCTTGCGAGTACTGGTTGATGGCCTTTTGCCAGTGGTATGCCTCGACGGCTGTGTAGGCGCTTTTATCCGGGAGGATGTGGCAGAGATGCGTTGTAGCGATCCCGATGATGCCGTGCATGAGGAACGGGGACTGGGTGATGGTTAGGAAGGGTATGAACTTTGATGGTTACTATCTCAAGGGGGCGCTGACTTGAAGTGCAAGTTGAATCGTTCTACTCCAGAGAAAAGCTTCGGTGCTCCCGTCGTCAACTGTGGGCATGGTATGTTCATGGAAATGATGCAGTGAGCGAAGGTTGTCGGACAGCTTCCCATCCTTAGGGTTGAGCTGTAGCAGCTCATTGATCTTCTTTGAGATTGCCGATAGTGACAACGAATGTGCGCTTGAGTCTGGCGACACCAAACTGGGCACTTTCTCGACTAAGTACGTGACAATGTCTTTGTCATGCTTGTGGACCGGCTGTGGCTCATAGAAACAGTCCACGCCGTGCTTGCGGCATCGCAGACAGTGTGGTTTAGTTTCGTCACACTAAGAAGAGTCAGAAACTGCTACACAAAACAAAAGTCTTTAAATAGAGAATCTGGCAAAGTAGAACGGCTTCATAGTACCTTGATCCGTCGTTCCTTACACTTCGCGCATCCACCACGAGACTTCCGATGGGCCCGTCGAGCATAATAGACGTTTTTTACGGCCCTACCAGAAGGTCCAGTCCCAGGCTTGTGCAGGGTTACTCGGAAAACACTTTGCTGGCCCTGCAGGGCCCGGGATGACTTTGAGGGGCAAGAGCTGCTGTGCGACGACGTGTTTTTGGGGGACGTGTTGTCTGAGGCTGTTGACATTATGGGCTAAACCAAGCGGCTGATCTAGACAGTCACCTTGCTGCTTAGCGATCATAAGACGAGGTTATCGATACTACTAACCCAGAAGAATTAGGGCGAGCCAACAGACAGGCGTGGTATGCAAAATAGCCGAGATGCTGCATCCCCATTTGCCCACCGGACAAGATGTGTGGGGTAGCCCATAGAATCCAAGGTGAATAGACCCCTTGTTATTGTGCGAGCACAGAAAGAGGGTGTCAGATTGACAGCTGGGACAGAGATGAAGGAGCAGAGAAACCAACAAGACGTTGGGGTGACACGAGGCTGGCACTAGTCCCAACCAAGTAACCCTCGTATCGTAAACCGGGGTTCATCTACAAAGACCAGACAGACATTCAAAGTATTCTGCCAAAGAACAGAACGGTAGGATATTAATTCAATGCAGCTCATATACTATGCATGGTCGCGGGACTCCGTTCCCTGAGAAAGTAGACACGCTCATAACTTCATACACCATTCATAAGGGTTCCAACACGCTAGCTTCAACCAATCTGGGCGTTCGAGAAGTCCATTTCTACAAGACTTGTTAGAAAAGCTAAAAATCTGGTAATTGGACCACATACCTGGGTGTTCGGCCTGGAACTTCTTCAAGATTTCCATCTTGCGCTGCTCGTCGCTGCTCGGTCCGCCCATTTCTTTCTGGCGCTGGTCGTACATCATCTTTTCAACCATGGCCCTCGTTTCTCCGTCGAGATCGCTCAACTTGGAAGATTCGGGGGTGATCTTGCTGACATCGATCTTCGGCGCCGAGGTCACAACGTGCGGCCACCATTCCACCTTGTTGGCCTTGTCCAGGTGGACCGCCACTTCCTTTCCGGGGGGATTCGACGTCGTCTCCAAAGTCCACGAGCATTCATCCACGAGAACGGGGTGGGGGAAATCGCCCTAGATGTTGCATTAGCCTTGTGACCTTCCCTCCCTACACACGATAGCGTATAAAGTTGAGAACGAGACGGAGGAAGAATACCTCAATGAACGGCTCCTGTCCCTTGATGGCCACCTTGATTTTAGATTTGGTCAAAACCACATCCATATCCCGCCCCTTGATGTTTCCGGGAATCGAAATCGTCACGTCCACATCCTGAATGCTCTGGGTCCATTTGTACGGCAGCTGGGCCTGTTCGGCCTCCTCCTTGGCCTTGCGCTCTCGTTCTTCGCGTTCGCGCTCGGCGGTCTCGGCCGCGGTGGGATCACGTTCCACGTCGGTAGACATTTTGCGGTGATCGGGGTTATTGAGGGAGAGAAGGGGTAATTATGGTCGTAGCTCCGGAGTAGCTGTGGAGGGGTAATAGTGGGGTAAGCGAATGTTTCGATGCGGTGAGGCAGGAGGGTGGATTAACCTTAAGTTTGCCAAGCAGTCCGCTGCAGTACAACGGAGGTCTGAATGGGGGTGTAGTGTGTACGGAGTAGTGTGGAGAAATGAAGGGAGTCGTGACGGAGAAAAGGGAAGGTCTGGAGGTGTTCGAGCATCTTCGACTGTGATTTCATCCGCGGGTGGACCCGCTCAAAATGCGGCCTCTAAACTGCTTTGGGCTCCCACGTTGATTTCCCTCGATCTAACTTACTGTCAAGTTGTCAACTCATGCCATGTATTATACATTAATGTCTTGACGGGCTTCTTGGTGTTATCTCTGATATGCTCGTCTTGGTTTTGGTGTCAAGTTTCTCATTCTCCCCGAATTAGCACCCCGCGATATCGCATCTTTCCTTCTCTGAGCACCTGCATCGATTCCTCGATACCCTCCCCAGTCAATGGGAAGGTCTGGGTAGTTGGAGCAATATTTTTCTTTGCGGCAAATTCCAAAAGAGCCCGAATACTATGGCAAGATGCGACTAGAGCGCCTTGAACCTGAATACCTTGGAAGCACAACTGCAGCGTGGGGATCGCAGATGGCAAACGTCACCGTCAGCGGATAGATGGAGCTGGGCGAGTCCATCAGGGGAACCAGGCTGAGATGGGGTTAGCCATGGTCATGCAGAATCTCCTAAGATCACATACAACTGGTAGTCCGAGCTGCCACTTCCACAAAGCAGTAAATGCTTGAGGGGCTTCAGGTCCTGCGGCTTCTCTCCTGAGCGAAACACATGATACTCAGAGGCACCGTACTCCGTGGCTTCCTGCATTTTTGACTCGGAGCTGGAAAGAACTACAACATGATATCCCAGCGCAGCGGCAAGCTTGATGGAAATATGGCCCAGTCCTCCGACCCCCATGATACCCACTCGGTCTCCAGCTTCGATGCCAAACCGGGTCAAGACAGTCCATACCGTGGCGCCAGCACACATCAGCGGTGCAGCATCGACCGAATTCAACCCTTCCGGGATCGGGAAGACACAGTTAGCATCCCACACAGCGCCTGAGATCAATGTCCCATTATCGAAGTCGCTGACTCCGTACACCTTCCGCTCTTGGCAGTATTGATCCCAACCTGGACTGGCGTTAGAGAGGAAAGCCGATATATCTTGAAAGAAGAAGCTCCTACCGGTAGCGCAGTTATTGCAAGAGGCGCATATGCTGTGAGTGAGTTTCAGGCCTTGCCTTTTGTTATTTAGTATGCTTGAAGCTGCACTTCGGAAAGTGTCACTTACAAGGCGCGCGGTTAGTATCGCAATGTGGGCAGTGACATCACGCCCTATGTGGACGATTGAATAATTGTTTCAATGCAATCATCAAACAGAGGCTGAATCTCTGTGTGTAGTAGACTATAGCGATTGAGAAATAGACAGTATGCTAGGAAGCCGGAACGTTGTTCGAGCACTGCCTACCTGAGTTTCTCTAAACGTAGAGCTTCATAGATATTACACACGCAAGTAATGTATTCAATAGATAAACATGACACTCATCAAATTACCTTAGGTAATTCAACTCCAATTCTCTCGTCAGACTAGCTATAACCTATCCAACCAACCATCAACTAAACGCATCCCATCAATAGTCATACCTAACAACATTCATTGTCCCAATGCGTACCACAGGGGCAGTTATGTAAATCCTCCCTCCTCTTTATCTCCTCCAGCAACTCGATAAAATCCTCGTCTCCCTCTCGCGCGCGCTCCTCGAACAGGGCCATATTATCCTTCAACCAGGTCGTATCGCCACCGGCCTAGAAAGAACCCAGCAGTTAGCATACCCACCGACCCCCAACAAAACGACTTCTAACAAAGCAACACAGATATCAAAAAAAGTAAGACCTGCAGGAAGAACAAAAAGGAAAAGGAAAAGGAAGTGGGGAAGGTGAAAACAAACCCTCGGCAACAAAACCCCACACTCCAACCCCGCCGTAATAGCACCCAGAATAAACACACGATTCAACTCCGTCTCCTTCCTCTTTCCTTTCTCGGTCTGTCCGACGGATCCGATATTCACAATGTCGTTCCAGGCGGATTCGATCTTGCGTGCTAGATCTTCGAAGTCAGATGTTGTTCTGGTTCCGCCGGATCGGACGTGTGCGAGGATGCGGTTTATCCGTCTCTATATTCCCCCAATCCCGGTTTTCCAGGACGGTTCTGTTAGTTGATGCTTGGGCTGGGATGGGCTGTAGGGGATTGGGGAGGAATCTAATGTAGGGAGCAGGTAAGAAGAACCTCTTTCCCGGCGATGTAATTACACTGGCGAGTCGAGTCTACGAACTGGACGTTGACGAAGAGGCTTGGGGTCGTGAACTTGCGGGTGTGGATGTGCGTGATGGATTGGGCGAGGGCGTCTCGTTGGGGTTTGGAGAGTGGAATGGAGTGTTCGATTGTGTAGAGGGGCATTTTTACTATGCTTCTTGAATGGGGATAGGTGCTGTGTTTCGGGGGGTGATTGATTGATGTGAGTTGGGTAGAGAGGTAAAGTAAGAAATGCTCAGGATTTATGTAGGATACATCTATCTACGGGTAGGCGAAGGAGTATGCACGAGTTCATGTGCCGAGAAACCCCTCATTGACTCGATGCATTGAGCTAAAGCCCCGACAGTCGGGCGAGACTACATACCAGCTCTCTTCCGGCCGATATGAAAGTCTCCGAGTCTGACGATCCGTCCGACCAAGTCTCTAAGAAACGAATGAAGGGGGAAGAAGGATTCATTATCACGTAATTTAGATAGATGCATTTGTGCAGGGCAAATTGTCTTACTGGAGTTTGTTTGACTCTGGTATCTCACATATGGCAAAGTAATTCGACTCTTGGGGTATGTGGCTCAAACTAGCGCTGGATAAATGCTTTCAAATCAGGACCGAAAGATGGCAAAACACATGCATTGAGTTCTATCATATGCCAGCAGACAGAATATTCTGTCATCGAGATGCTTGGTGCTTGCAGTTGAGAGTGGTGTATAGGTATTCTTTGTCAACCCGACGCTTTGATGCTTCCTGCGCATTCAGGTCGATTGAAAGCGAGAATAGGGAAATTTCGAAAGCGAAATCCAGAGTCAATCATCAACTCGGTAGTAAAAAAAAAAAAAAAGGAAAAAGAAAAAAAAAAAAAAAAATTAAGAATAACAAATAAGTAAATAGCAAAAGATGCGTAAAAAATTCCTCCACAACGCCGGTGAAATAGACAGATCCGAATACTGCTCAAATGCCCGAACCGAAACACCGAAAGTAAATGCAAAGAAATCCCGAGAGCCTACTCGGTACTATCTGTAAAAATATCCTCCAAAAAAATTTCTGTCCCGGATGCATCGACGTGATTGCCGGACTGATAGGTTGAAGAAGAGGCGTGGGCGTTCTGGGAGACATCCTCCACTTCCTCCACCATAATATCCGGCTGCTCAACGGCGTCGAAGAACTGACCCGCAAATTCGGCAACTTCGTTGGCCATCTTGGTCTCGACGATGCCCTCGAGCATTTTCATGTCTTTCTTCCATTGCTGCTCCCGTCGCTCTCTCTCTTCCTCCACACGACGGCAGGTTCCATCCCGCTCCCGGATCCTTAAGCAGTTGGGGCAGAGGTAGTTCACTTCGCAATAAGTGCAGTTGCACGGAGGGTTCGCTTCGATGCATTCTTCGCATACATGCACCGAGCAACTCGTGCATTCCCGCAGGACACTGGCGCACCGTTGTCGCTGATCGCCGACGGCGCGGTACTGGGGACAGAAGAAGGACTGACAGCCCTGCCATTTCGTAGGTTCTATCGACCACTCGCCGTAAACCGACGCGGGAGACGAAGAGCGCGATCGGTTGGAGTTTGAGATGGAAAAGCTCCTAGATCGATGAGGCCCGATAGGATGAGACGAAACCTCCGGCTGGTCGAGACTCTCGGCGATGCCATCGGTGGGTACATCCTCAATATAGCTGCTAGCTGCCGAGCCGGCCGCGCGTTGAGTACGATACGGCAGATCAAACTCAGGCGGTGGGTCAGCGAACTGAAGGGGTGGCGAGACGTAGGATGGGGAGCCCAGTTGAGAGACTCCTCCAGTCCGAGTCTGAATGGCCATTTTCTCCAATGTCAAGTCACGATACCCGCAGATCCGTAGGCGAAGACCGCGGAGGTCGTGCTCAATGCACAAGGGCTTAGAGCAGCTCTTGCAGTGAACTTTCCATTGCGGCGTGTCGTAGCATTCCTGGCACAGGTTCCGCGGGCAAGCGGTCGGGTCTCGGTCTGGAGGGCCAAGCAACCATTTCATCATGGCCAGATGGCCTGCTTCCAGCGTGTAGTCCGGCTTTTGGGGATCGCCGTAGGCGTATTTGGGAAACGTCTTACTCCACTCGTTGGCTGAGTACTCCATATCCTCCCATCCCTGCCCTCGGGGAAGAGGTGCTGCTCGAACTTGATCGACATCCCTGTTCGGCGTCCCGATGCTGATGCCACCGCCGCCCGAGAATATGGGCTCCGTGCAGCACCAGTGAAAGTTCAGGTTCGGGTACGGAACCGCGGTGTGCTGGTTCACAGCGTTGGTTCCCGTCAGGTAGCTGGGAGGATCTTGCATGAGACAAGGTGAGTGAACCGCACCCGGCGCCCACCACAATTCATCCGGCGTTTCCTCGGGGGTAGAGACCCGGGGACGACAGCGAACATATGGCCGATCGTAGGCGCAACTGGCGCAGAGGGTTTTCCGACAGCCAACGCAGTGCATCAGAATACTGCACTGCTCACACCGCTCCGAGATTGGCTCGCAGCAATGATCGCATCGGATATTTTCCACGAATCGCCTGTGGCTCCAACGTCGGTGCGCCGGCAGGGTCTTGCCTTCGCCATAGTCTCTTCCTTCCCCGGTCCCCAGAGGTTCGCCATGGCACCCCGTCTCGCGGTGCTCCCACAACTTGCCATCCTTCTTGGGCGGGCGAAATCCATGGTCAACGGGGCCTATCCAGTTCTTCGATCTCCATAGCCGATCAAAAACCACCCAGACCTCGGGCGATCCCTGAGGAACCCTCATGGACACATATCCCCTTCTTCTATGGCATCTTCCCGCCGGGGTAGAGCACCACGCCGTATCAGTCCAGATCCCTAGCCTGTGGCAGAGATTAACCAGTTCATGCGTTGGCTCCGAATCCGAGTCCTTCCGCGTTAGAGACGACGAGAGATACGGTCGTCGCCGATGATGGCGGCACCGGTAGGTATACAAACTTTTAAGGGCGAGATGTTTGGTGCACGGCGAGCTGCCGATGTTCTGCTCCACACTTACATCGTATTGCAGCCGAAACATCATCAGGTAGGGAATAAGATGGTATTTGAGGGAGACATTTTTGCATCCACGGACCGACAAATGTTCCAAGGTTTCGCGTCGCGAGTGTAGGACGGTCGAGATAAGATTCTGCCCGGATACCGCCGTATTATCCAACTCCAGACTGGTCAGACACGGGCTAAACGGGATGACCACGTGCATCAACAGCTGGTCCAGCGCGTAGGGTCGTGACTGTCGAGAGACGATCGCATCCGAACTGCCTGGGACCACCACGCGCAGCGGAGATGGGTTGCTGGATGGATAGAACAGGCGAAACGATAGCTGCTTCCATGCTGTCGGATACGATCGGAGGAAGGATCGGAGGTAGGCTGAAGAGTGGTAGAGCTTAAGGATGGTATTGGTCGGGATTTGAAGCAGCAGAGATTCGAGGATGGGGGCGTGGGTGGTAAAGACTCGCTCAAAGGTCGACAGCGTTCGCTGGGCTGGTATCACCGACTGCTCCAGCGCGGATGCTACCAGCACTTGGCTGGGGCCGGTATCGTCCATGGCGCCTAATCCGGGTGTATCCATCGCGGGTCGGGACACCGTTCGTCTAGTATTTCTTTGCTTCCACCAGATATCCAGTCACCGTGCGAGAAGTCCAAGTGACGCGAGCTCGCGAACGCAGCGGAGAATGCGGGAGGCGCAGGGACATCATAAGGAGAGAGGAAGGGCGACCATGCGCAAGGACAGAGCCGGGATCGAAGCTAGTCGGATGCCATGCGAGGCGATTCAAGGGAGGGAACGACGAAAGCGAGAGGAAAGGCGAGAGTGGGGGGGAGGATAAGAAGAGCAAGAGCAAGAGCAAGAGAGGAGAGGAGAGGAGAGGAGAGGGGAGGGGAGGGGAAGACTCCGTAGAGAGAGAGAGGAGGGAATAGGCGCTGAGGGAGTGTGACAACTCACGGTTGGGAACAAATCCAACTCATTCCGGGATCTGCCCGGGGCTGCATCATGTGATAGGTCGCCCCGAATGAGGAGGGCAGGTTGGGTCGGTCCTTGCACAAGAGGAGTTTATTATTATTAGTTATTGGGTTAATCTATTGCTTCGTGATGAATCCTTGCGGTGGCGTGGTCTATACCCTGTTCGAGTTCGGCCCTCAGTGCAATTGCAAATCCAATTGGGGTATGATTGACTTCTATCCGTAAAATGATTCCCGTTTCCCTCATAATCATGGCCAGACTTTGGGTCCACCGTTTCGACCCCTTCTTCAACGGGGGTTCCTCACTACTGAAAAGTAACCCCAACTAACCTCCCTTAGGGCCGAGTCTAGTGCTTGTCTATTGATCCGCCCACCGTATATCCCCTTGCGATGCCCTTGCGCCCTTCCACCACCAGCGTACTATCCGGGGTTTCCTTCTCGTCGTCTTCTTCATACTGGATATCGAAATCGCTCCCCAGCCCCTTCCAGGTCCGATGCGACCGTAGGAATTCCGCCCCTGGCGAGATCGTGTTGCCGATCATGGCCACATCCCCCTTTGCGCGCCGGGCGAGTGCTCGCGCAGCCGACGGTCCGCCGGTCGCAGAAACAGCGTCGTCGGCGGTAACGCGGGGTGCAGGAGTCCGCATGGGACGCGAGTGCGAGACATACCGTCCTGTCCGCAGGTCGAACTCGGGCGGCGCGGATTCGTCTTCCGACATCTCGTCCTCGTCACCGTCCGCGTTGGCGTTGGCGTCGGCGGACGAGGCATTAGGGTCCTCAGCGGGCTTGTCCAGCACGCTTTGGAAGTCACTCTGCCACGCTCCAGTCCAGACCCGTTCGGCATCTCCCTGCAGCGTCATTTCCAACTCAAACGGCGTGATCACCGGCTTCCAGAACTCTTTGCTGTCGACCAGCGAGCTCTCCCAGCATCCAATCACCACCCAGCCCCCAATCTCGCTGAAATTGGCCACCTTGGCGGCGTTCAGCTTGCCCACCACAAACAGATAACTCTTCTTGCCGGCCGCCGCGATCCGTTCCCGCACGTGATCTACGATGTGCAGGTAGTTCTTCACGCTGAGCGTGTTGACCAAGATGCCGAAGATCGGCACCGTGCTGAGAGAGGTCAGGATGGCGTACCGTCGCGACAGGGTGGCGGCTGTTGACGCGGGCAAAGGCTTGACATTCTCGTTAGCTAGATCATTCGTGGGATAGATGTAGATGGAAGCAACGCGGGATGCCAGGGTCAAGAGGAGCGCGGTAGGAGGGTCGGAGATGTGGAAAAGCTGCCACTCCGACAAGGTCTCCGACGAGTCGCGCACCGAATCGGGCACGGTGCGATTGGGGATGGCGGACGACGGATTGTGGAGCAACTCCGTGGCGAACAAGTTGGTGTAGCCCTCCTCTACCAGCCGGGAATACAGCGAAGACACATGGTCATTATAGGTGACGTCGGCTGCAAGGATGACCTTGGTGGTCGGGTCGGGGTAGGTCTCCTTGAACGCCCGCACAACCGGCTCCAGCGGCAGAGGCTTGTGCGTAAAGACGTGAATCACCGGCAGTCTCGCGGTTGGAGATAGGCACGATCGTCCGTAGTGCACGACCACGTCGGCGTCGACATGCTCGGCTGCCACCTCGTCGACACAGCAGGTTCCGTAGGATGTGTCCGCCAAAATGTACAGTCTAGGTGCCGGGTCCTTCGCCTCCACGCTGAGCTGAGACACCCCAGGGGCTAGTCCATTCGCATCGCCGGTCTCCGTCCCATTGCTCTGAGCCTGAGAGCCATTGTCCTCGCTTGTATCGGCGACGTCGCGCGTGTCCAATCCCCGACTGAGCAGCTGGAAGACTCGCGGAGCATCGGGAAGCATGTCGTCGGGGAACTGGAGAGCGATGCGCTTATACCGAGCCTGGCGAATTTCCTTCAGCGTGCGATCGATGTCATAGGTAATCGACAACTCATGGTCCGACAGCGATCGAGTGGTATCGTGCGATGTGACGGGGTCGGTGGCCTCCAGGATGCGATCATCCGGAGTCGACAAGACGGGCGCTGCCTCCATTTCGGAGCCCATTTCGACAAGATGGAGAGGCTCTCTAGGATAGGGGAGGACTAATAAAGGCAATGCGATTGCAATCGGCGGGGTTTGTCGAATTGGCGAAGCGTAAGAAAGTGGCGGATATTTTTTTTTTCTTCGAGGCCCAAAGAAACTCCCCACTTCACCCCGCCATCCGCGGAGCCAATGATGCGGTCGCCAATTACGGATCCCCTTATGGCACCATTCTTTCAACAGGTAGGATTGAGAGTGGAATTTCCTGAACTTATATACATGAACGAAAACCATCATGGAATTCCCTCCTCAGAGGTCTGCTCGTGCCGGCTCGCCCGCCCAAACACGCCGGATCAATTCACGGATCGGAGTGCGCTCAATCTCCCGCGGGTTCCAGTATGGGTTGCCCACTGCTATATCGGCTGCCTTGTCAACGTCTTCTTCCTTCATACCAAAGTCTTTCAGACCTGTCTTGACCTTCAGTTTCGCTAGAAGGACATTGAGACCGTGGATAGCATCCCCGTTGCTGTCGGGAAGGGCCTCGGCCAGCTTCTTCATGGCCTCGGGGGTCTTAGGAGCGTTGTAGGATATCGCATGCGGAAGAACGGCCGTGTGTGTCTCAGCATGAGGCAGATTAAAGCTTCCTCCCAAGGTATGGCAGAGCTTATGATGGATGGACATCCCCACGCTGCCGAGGCAGGTTCCGCAGAGCCATGCACCGTAGAGAGCCAAAGACCGCGCGGATGCAGACTGAGGGTTCTCGACAATCTCCGGCAGAGCGGATGCCAGTGACCGAGTGCCCTCGAGCGCCATCAGGTTTATGACGGGGTTCGTGTTACGGGCGTAGAGTGCCTCGACTATCTGTAGCATCAGTACTCGGGGGCTTGCGATACTTGGATACATGATAGGTATAGGACGGGAACACACTCACCGGCATGAGCAATGGCATTCACACCACTCGTCGCGCTCATTGCCGTCGGCAGCGTCATGGTCAAGTCAACATCGTAGATCACCGTTCCAGGAAGGATCTTAGGATCCGAGCGAGTCTTCTTCAGCCCGTCGGCCGTTTCGCCCAAGATCGGGGTCATTTCGCTTCCTGCATACGTAGTCGGGATGCAGATGTGCGGTAGACCAGTGCGAATGCTGATAGCCTTTCCCAGTCCAATGGTGCTTCCTCCACCGATGGAGATAGCCACGTCCGCGCCCTGGGCTTGAGCGTACTCCAGCGCCTTGTCGGTGATATGCGTCGGCGTGTGCATGGTCGCCTCGCTGAAGATGCCGGCGATCTGACCCTTCAGGACGGCCTTGACGCTCTCGGCCTGGCTCACCTGCTGGGGCGTCGTGAGCACCAGCGGCGCTTTCACGTTCAATCGTGCGATCTCATCGGGCAGTTTCTGAAGGGTGCCGCTGCCAAAGATGACACGGCCGGGGTTGGCGTTGTATTCGAAAGCGTCCATTTCGTGGTTGTTACTGAGGTAGTATACTCGTGCGGGAGCAAGATCCTACTATGTGCGCTGCAGGATTCCTAATCAATGAAAATGACAAGGCGGAAATCCTCCGCTGGTTACCACCTCTAGATATATGCAAGCCGTCGCATACGGAGTACTCCCCAGTAGCCGACGCAGCTTGATCATCATGATTAATCCTCGCAGCTCCCCACACCCCACCGGAAAACGCCTCAGGTCATTGGGGCAATTCATTCTACCGTGGGTCTGCCTCCACGGGACTCGGCAGTTGCGCTTTGGTCGACTCCGGATTTCAGATGAGTAGATTATTGTTTCATTCTGAGTTCTATGGAAATTAGGAAGGTCGACAGGATAATCTCATTGAGAATCCTCTTGATTCGCTATCATTAAATATGTAGGCAGGCATGATGCATAACAATTGAACTATTTTGTTGAATGTACAGCTGCGTCCCCATGGGTATACGCACGCATTGCTTCCTGTCGCTTCGTCGTAATACTAATGATATCCTTCCTGTCCCTGTAGAGATGGTACTCGGCTTGTAACCGATTCATTTAGTCCATATCATGGAAGGCCATGATACCAGGAGCCCCTCTGCGTTCATTCTTGTTCTTCTTGCGTTGCTTCCGGCGCGACTGATCGGCGCGGCTCTCTTGCTCGCTATCATCGGAATCATCGCCGTCGTCATCGTCACTGTCGTCGCTGTCGCCCATCATGTGTTTGCCGTGGAGAGCTCCGTTCACCGATCCCGCAGCCTCATGCCACACCTTGACGATCTGTCCTCCTCCAGTGACCATGCGACCTTCGACGTCGAAGTCCACACCGACCACACCCTCCGTCTCGTCGTGCATCACCTCCGACACAACCTTGTTGGGCCCGATCTTAACGAACTTCACCTTTCCACTGCCCATACCAACGGCCACCATCTTGCCCTTACCCATATCCTCAGGAATGACGGTGAGAGTCTCCAGCGCCTCGCCGCCGTCGGCGTCCCGTTGCACATAGATCCGTTCGTCCTGGTCGTCCCACGCGCCCTTTTCCCAGAGCGTCAGCACCCCGCTGGAGCCGCCCACGATCACCTTCTCGCCGCGGCTGGTCCCCGACGACGGCAGTCCGCCCATGTATGTCGAGCTGGTCAACTCTTCGCCTTGGTCTTCGCTGCGCACCATGACGCCGCGTCGAAGATCCGTCACGGCCAGCGTCGTGCCGCCCGTCGTTACCCATTGCTTACTATATCCTGACGTGCTGGTGTCGGATGCCGGGAGAGGCGTGAGAGAGGAGACGTAGTCGTCGTGGGGGTGGTGGCTCTGCTGCGGCCGGGCGGACACTTTCGAGTACGGAATGCGAAGGTCGTAGAGGTGCAGGGCGCTCGAGTCGGTGGCTAGGAGAAGGGTCTGGTTGGAGAGAGCGTGGACAATCGTCGGGGCGTCAACGGATCTAACAAAGAAGGAAACAAGTTAAGCAATAAGACCCCAAGAAAGAACTAAAAGCCAATTGGTTCAAGACTCGACATGAACCGTCATTGAAGCCGCAGAACAATGAAAGTACATTGACCGCCATCGCAACCGCAACCCTCGAACCTATCCCAATGGCATAGCGAAATAGCAAAACAGGGTATCACTCACCCATCTTTTTCGGTAGGAATTGCGATCTTATTTTCCACCACCCCGGTCTCCGCCTTTGCGGCTTTCACAAACCCGTCCGTGCCGGCCGAATACAGCGTTTGTCCGTCGACTCCGAACGTCAGAGACCGACAGCTGCCCTTATGCCGTCTCGTCCTCCACATTGTATCGATATGTCCGCGGCCATTGCGCGACGAGGAAGTCGGGGCTCCGTCGCTGTCGCTGTCGCCTTCGTCCGACGGCAGCCGGAAGGTTTGCACATGGCCGGAAGAGAGACCCACGGAGACGACGGGCTCGTTGGGGTGCACAGCCTGGGAGAACAGGTCTGCCGACAGGGGCAGGGTACAGACCGTGTCGAACATGGCGAGTGGAGAGGAGGAGGAAGAGGAGAGATGAGGATAATTCGAAGCTGTCTACGGAGTAAAAGAACAGGTCTTCACCTCGCAATCAAAAGCTCTTTTTTCATTGAAGCTGCAGGTTGGAAAGTGGGGCGTCGGGATGGTCACCGTTCATACACAGTCGATACCTTTTTACGGTTGATTACCCGGAAATATGGCAGAAATTCAGACATCCTTACCGTTTTGTACTGTCATTAGGGTGAAAGGCCAACACGTGCCTGACCCACCCTGGCCTGGAGAGGCTTAGCGCAGGCTGATCAAAGGCTCCACGCTTTGCTCTGAATACTTCATTCCCTTCATACTAAATGGGATCAAATAATCAAATGCATCACTTCAATTCAATCTAACTCAGTACAGAGCAAGAGACAAGAAAAGAAACAGAAAACTAAGAACGAAAGGCGACTGACTACCAGAGGAGTCAAAAGAAAGGAAACAACCGGCAAGAAAAGAAAAACAAAAGACCCATGATCAAAAGGACAAGCTAGGAGCTAGCCTGGCCTGCCTTGAATCAAGGTCTCTGTACCCCGTCTTGTCTTGCTTTTCAATTTATGTACATTGTCTTGGTGAGGGAAACACTTTTCTGATGCAAGACTTCTGCAAATATCGGAGTTTCTCAGAAAATCCGTTCTTCTTCATCTAAGAAGAGGGGGCATCGAAGGTCGATCCGATGGGGCCGAACTTGATGTTGGAGAAGGTGACGGAGGCGTCGGGGTGGGCGGACCGGACCTTGTCAGGGTCACCCTCGCCGGGCTCGCAGGTACCGCGAGCAGTGCCGGCGCCGGTTTCACCGTCGGGGTAGGTGCTGTCGAGCCACTTCATGCTGGAGTAATGGTCATCCCAGACACTCATGATGAGGACCATGGCGCCGAGAGCGTCACCCATGCCACTGAGACCGTTGTGGTCCTGGAAGATGGTATCGTCACCGAAGGCCTTCTTCTGCGCGTCGCAGAAGTCCGAGGTGATGGAGTTGCCGCTAACACCATCGATGTTGGACTCGGAGTTGGGGATCACGGTACCACCCTGCACGTAGAATCGCTTGATCTCAGACAGAGAGCCGGAGGAGCCGGAAATGAACTGGGTCACGACGGTGATCTTCTCCTTGGTGTCAACCGTCTTGCCGGGGCCGTAGAAGGTCTCGTTGCCCATCCGGTAGGAGTTGAAGTCACATCCATCGGGGTCGCAGGTACCGGCGTAACGCTCGCTGGAGTAGGTTCCGCCGCAGTTGTCGCCCTCGCACATGGTCTGCTTGACGTCGTCGCAGGGGTGAGGAGTGTAGGCGCTCGAGATGCTGTTGGCCTCCCAGATGTCCATCTCGGGGCAGCAAGAGCCGTGTCCACCAACACCGGCGTTCTCGTCGGTCTCCGAGGGCTCCCAATCTTCCACGTTGGCCTATTTCCAGTATGAGCATTTCTTTATATCGCCATGAGTAGACCCTGAAGGGTGGGGGTGGGATAGAAATCATACCAATCCGTTGATGAACTTCAAGTCCCGAGGGCACTGCGAGTCACAGTAACCAGTTCCGTACTTGGCACCGGCCTTGTTCTCGGGGTGCGCCTCGACACCGCCGTCGGCATCCATGGAGGTGAAGTACAGAGCACCGTTCAGGCCGCAGGGAAGCTCGGAGACGTCCACGTCAAAGGTGAACTCGTTATCGATGAGGTTAAACGTCTGGTATTTCTCATCGCTGGTGTCCATGAGGTACAAACGAGAGCCAACGTTCTCACCAGTGACGAACTTCAGGGTGAGGGCATCACCACTAGTGGTCACACCGTAAGTGCCGCTGTAGTCTGCGCCATCCAAGGCACAGTTCGTGGCACAGGCCTCGTTGTCTGGGCAGAGGGTTTCGTCCCACTATTGAAAATCATCCTGGTCAGCCTCCTCTTTTGCTCTCGGGATAATTGGAATACTCACGGTGTTACCGGTGTAGCAGTTGGTGCTGCCATCAACGTCGTGAAGCCAGCGCCAGTTGGAGTCAATAACAACAGAGCCCTTTTGCTCCGTGCAGCTACCACCAGAGGTGCATTTCGACCAGGTCAAAGCCGGGTGGCTCTCTTCTGTCAGCGTTCCGGCCTGTTGGGCGTGAACGGCCGACCAAAGGGCAGAGAAAAGAAGCGCGCGTTGATGCATTGCGGAGTGTGATAGAGAGCGAAGTCAATTGATATTTGCTATCTGTCTGTCCTGCAGAGATGATGTCCAACCCTCGAGAGGATGGTGCCTCTTTATATGTCTGTCGAGACAGTTCAGAATACATGGCTAGGGTATATCTGGATGGCTCCGAATTCATCACGGGGAATCCTGAACGCGTCGTCCTGCCCGGTGCTGCGGACCGCGATACCGCCGAACTGGCTGTTTCATGGAGATAGACGAAGCGCCAGGACTCTGGGAAGCCAAAGGAAGCCCCATACGGAACTATGGCCGTTCAATGTGTTACAGATGGACCCCGATTTAGATTGCCAGGGTGTAATAAAAAAATCCCCTGCGTGAGATGATTGGTGTTTAAGATCCCAGCATCGGTAACGGAGGCGTCTCCGGATTATTTCTGTCCAGGGGAATATATTGAGGGTCTAATGAGCTATTATCGAAATATGCACTTCTTTCTCCACAGACCCTTTTCTTCAACGAAATTTCTTGTCAGGGAACAGCGCACGGAGTAACCTTCCTTGCTCCTTTCGGCAGATTCGCACTGTACAGGGTAGCATCCTGTATGAACTGCTAGCTCTTCATTAAGACAAAGCATGTGGTTCATAGCTTTAATTGATAGGTTCAGTATGGATCCAGGAACCAGAGTATTAGTCACTTACTGGGAACTTGCACTGTGCTCCTCAACTGGGGGTGAACGATGGAGCAGGCCGCATCACGAATGGAATTGCACGTTCCAGTTTGCCCCCTATAGCCGTTATAGCAATCTTCTAATTTTTCCGGGCACTTTGCCTACAAAATTCGACCTCGAATTGGATATAGGCTGGGAAGCAGGGGAAGATTTCAATTGGGGATTGACCACGGTCCAATCAGAACGACACGAGACAGTCGACACGACGTCAAAACTAAGCGCTAGATGGCAGAATGTGGCGCTCATTGGGCGCAAGCCGGAATCAGAGGCGTCGACACTTGAGATGAAGGACTGGGAAACATCCAGGATGCCCCGTTAGCCTTGCCGATCCACGGAGTGCGGGGAGAAGATCCATCAATGACCATCCTTCCTGATCCTGCCGGCATTTCGTGACCTGTCATTCTCCATGGCTTTAGGGCTATTTTGGACTGCATAACTGTCGCCAAGGGTCATTCATTTAGGCCTGGTCGGACATAATGTCCGGAGGCGGGTGTTCTGATCGTCGATAGGCCAAGAGCCGAGTCGGCTTTGACCGTTAACTATGCTGTAGCCTTTTCGCTCAGATGATATCCTGATTGAAGCCAACATATCACTCCGTGGACTTTAACCCTGGGGATGAGTAGTGATTCGGGCAAACCGCATCCAGGCGTGGCCACGGCTCTCGGCTTACATCCGTCAACATTCTCTCCACTTCAAACGCATGTCAGCTGTCTTCATCGTACGACAGGGAGTGTTACAGCATCCTGGGCCCTCTTTCCAATTCAGAGCAGATCCAGACGTCCAAACTTGTGGCGCTGTACCTTGCAGATCGTTTCCGGATCCCATCGTGTCTGCACAGGTCGCAGCTTGATTTAGCCGAAATCAGGCCATGAATAAAGCACACGGGCAATCCTCCGCACCGTGGAAAAAGAGGATATGGGGCCTTTCAAGATGGCTCCACGGCGGTTTTAATTTAGGAGATTACTTACTCTGTCTCTTATCCACTACCAATCTGTAGTATGTACAGTCATCTGATCCGAAACTGGGCCGTCGGCGCGTACGAAGATAATCGGCCTGCAAATTGCCATTCTGGGAAAGGAGAAGCCGCGAGATCTTGGCTCGTAGGTGTAGCGATCTTTTGCCTTTCTTCTGGATAATAGATTGTTGTCTGAAGTTGCATCTCAGTTCTTCTTATCCGTTATCCGTTGACCCGAGGCATTTGTCTGGTTTGGGGCGTCCTGCTGCTGTTGCGGAACCTTTCATCGACCTTGGACTTCTTTTCTCTTTCCATTGTTTTCTCTCGTTTTTCACTTATTTATTTATTTATTTATTTCTCTCTCTCTCTCTCTTGGTGTACTACTTATTCAATTTTTCTTAAAAAAAAAACATTGAAACTTGTTGATAAATCAACTTGGACGCTGAAGCCGTTAGGTATCTTCAAATCGAGATAGATCGATATCTTGCGCTGAACCAAGATATATAGTGGAAAGGGAATCTGACAAGTTTCGAAAACATATTTCCACAGAAGAATTAGTACAACATAGCAGCATGAGAACCCTGCATGAAGTTGTGCAGATACACAGAGATCGCGGAGATGATCGTAGGAAACAAGCAGAGGGGTGAAGACAAGACGGAAAGGGGTCCCTGGGCGCCTGAGGCCAACCTCGGCAGCTCGGCAGGTGACTTTCCTCGCTCATCCGCCAAATGTCGACCACCGTTCATCGTCTTTTTCCCCATCACTTTCACTCTTTACGTCGCTCTCTTTTGTGCTATTTTCATTACATAGACTCTTATCATTGATTTCTTTTTTTTTTCTTTCGTCTCTGCATTTGCGTTGTAGATTATAGACTTCTAAACCCATAAACCGCCAGATACCTAACAACCACTGTCATGGCCTGGTATACTCAAACCGTCGATCTTCTCTCCGATTCTTTGACGAATCATCGCTCCCAGCTTCCCCTTCTTGCTGCAACAGGGGCTTCACTAACGCTCGGTCTTGCGCTCCGCTCATTCTTGTCGGACGAGCATCCCGGCAGCACCGTCCTGCCGTCTCCGCGCGCGTCGGTCTTACCGTCGGAGTCGCCTGAAAGGAGCCGAGAGTTGCCTCTGCCACCCGATGTGCTTCCGGGAGCTCGAGATGTGCCAACGCCTTATGGCTCTGTACGAGTGTACGAGTGGGGTCCCGTTGATGGCCCGAAGGTTCTCTTTGTCCATGGGATTACCACGCCCTGTATTGCCCTTGGAGGGGTCGCCCATGCTTTAGTCGACCGAGGCTGCCGAGTGATGCTATTTGATTTGTACGTGACATTGGCTTCCCTTGATAGAGCTGTCCGTGATAACTGAATGTTTCTATTAGGTTTGGAAGAGGCTATTCAGATTGCCCGTCCGATCTACCCCAGGACGACCGGCTTTTTGCGACTCAGATTTTCTTGGCTTTGAGCTCGTCCCCAATCTCCTGGACCGGAGCCGGCTCTAGCAAGTTTTGTCTCGCTGGATACTCCTTGGGTGGAGGCATTGCGGCTGCTTTTGCATCTTTTTTTCCTCAACTTCTCTCGGCTCTGGTGCTGCTTGCTCCGTCTGGCCTGCTTCGCGACTCTCAGATCAGCTTTCAATCACGTCTTCTCTATTCCCGCGGTCTTGTCCCCGAGCGGGTTTTAGGATTTCTTGTCGGTCGTCGTCTGCGTGCTGGACCATTGGTTACGCCCAAACATAAACAGGACAAAAAGCTCACTGCTGCTGATGCGCTCACGGAGGAACTTCCCTCCCAAGGCGGCGAGGACGTTCAGTTGTTGTCCAGAGCGTACCCTCACGTGAACGTTCCTGCTGCCGTACAGTGGCAAGTGAACCAGCACTCTGGTTTTGTCCATGCGTTCATGTCTAGCATGCGTTTCGGTCCCATCCTACAGCAACGCCAAATAGCGTCGTGGCAACGACTGGGCCAATTTCTGGCTAGCCAGAGAGAGCTTACACCCCAAGAGCAGCCTGACAGCGGCCTTTCACCCAACAAAGTTCTGATAATGTGTGGAGAACATGATTCCATTATTGTGAAAGATGAACTCGTACCAGATGCCACCTCGGCTTTACAGGGAAGTGTGAGGTTCCAGTACTTCAACGCTGGGCACGAGTTCCCGAGTACGAAATATGAAGAAGTAGCGCAGGGTATATGGGAGCTATTGCATTGAGACTGTGTTCGAAATCGGAGTGTCTGGCCTGCCAAATCTGCTTCCTTTCATAGCCCTACGTCTGACTCTCCTCGGACTTGCTCTTGTGGGACTGGCCCATAAATCTTGCCCGACGACACTTCCACTCTAATGAGATTGTACATAGATGTGCCCATTTCCTGGTTTTGGGATGATTCTATTGTTCCGGGTATGTTTTGGAATAGACCGTTTTGTCTTCATTTTTTCATGATCTTATCCGTTGCGTCAAGCTGAGTCGAGAGTCGCGACATATGCTCAGATCGACTCGGCATGCGCGCGCGAGCGAAATAGGGCTCATCCTCAGCAGCAGCCTGGATGAACCGCTCGACAGTGCCGTTCTTGCTCTCATCTGGCAGATGGCTGAGATTTCCTGCGTTGAGGCTGCTGCCCGCGCTGTTGGAAGTTCTGTTTGATGGTAAGCATTGTGCTTGTGGCTCGACTAACGAAGAAACCCTTACTTCTGGTTCTGTCGATTCTCAGAAGACATGATCGGTAAATTTTCAAACCGGGTGTTATGATAGGAAGCAATCGAAATACGGTGGTGTTTCAAATGATGTGTCTGCTCGGAGGTGCGAAGGGGGAACGAAGATGAAGGACAGCAAGAAGAGATACAGCTGACAGTTTACAGTTGCAGGCTGCCCTATGGCCGTGAGACTCGTGCTTCGCAATGTGAGAAAGCTTTGTCTGAAGGAATTCGATGGTAATTGTTGATTAGATGAGCCAGAAGACTGCACCTCTTTATACCTGAGCAGTGAGCTTCGCCTCCACAAACAGGTCAGCCCGAACGATGTGTGCGACAAGAATAGGTAAATGTGTATAGACTCCCAAAATAAATTCAATCTCAAGGAGGAATAAACCAAAAAGGAAGGCACCCGAGGGTGGAAATGAAAAGATGACACAAAGAGTTGAGATCTTCAGCAATTGGGTCTTCGGACACGCTGCCTCTCAGCTGCTTGGTTGCACAACCCTGAAATTCTTTTTTGCTTGGAGTGAATTTTAATGTCTTGCCATTTCAGGGTCAGTCACTGCCTTGTGATTCCTTGGTGCCTGCCTGTATTTTCAGACTGGGGTCAAATAAGGATCTATCACGACCGGACATACGGAGTTCGTTACATTAC